ATGATCCCATTCCCAATCCCCACTGCCCTTCCCAGCATGATCCCATTCCCAATCCCCACTGCCCTTCCCAACATAATCCCATTCCCAATCCCCACTGCCCTTCCCAGCACGATCCCATTCCTAATCCCTACTCCCCAGCACGATCCCATTCCCAATCCCCACTGCCCTTCCCAACATAATCCCATTCCCAATCCCCACTGCCCTTCCCACCATAATCCCATTCCCAATCCCCACTGCCNCATAATCCCATTCCCAATCCCCACTGCCATTCCCACCATAATCCCATTCCCAATCCCCACTGCCCTTCCCACCATAATCCCATTCCCAATCCCCACTGCCCTTCCCACCATAATCCCATTCCCAATCCCCACCGCACTCCCAGCCACCACACCAGACGCTCCCAGCCCTCAGTGACCATCCTGCCTCTGGATCGGTCCGTGTCTCACAAACGGGGTGGGACCCTGCCTGGATGCAGATTTAGGATTTATTATCTGTATCAGACAAGCAAAAAGAGAAAATAACAACATCCATGCAAATCCAGATCAGAGACAAGGTGGCAGCTCATGCAAAGACTTTTCCTACATATTCTTTGAACCGACAGCATAAAAGGAAATGTGAAAAGTTATTATACTCTAACCAATAAGAAAAGGACCCACATGGGTTTAACATTAACAAAAGGACTTCTATGAACCTCAAAAAATAATCCTTTATTTAAGATTTAAACTTCTTCTGGCTTTGCAAAGCATATATCTAGGACCTTTCACATNATGATCCCATTCCCAATCCCCACTGCCCTTCCCAGCATGATCCCATTCCCAATCCCCACTGCCCTTCCCAGAATGATCCCATTCCCAATCCCTACTGTTTTTCCCAGCACGATCCCATTCCCAATCCCCACTGCCCTTCCCAGCCTAATCCCATTCCCAATCCCCACTGCCCTTCCCAACATGATCCCATTCCCAAACCCCACTGCCCTTCCCAGCACGATCCCATTCCCAATCCCCACTGTCCTTCCCAACATGATCCCATTCCCAATCCCCACTGCCATTCCCGGTATGATCCCATTCCCAATCCCCACTGCCCTTCCCAGTATGATCCCATTCCTAATCCCTACTCCCCAGTATGATCCCATTCCCAATCCCCACTGCCCTTCCCACCATAATCCCATTCCCAATCCCCACTGCCCTTCCCACCATAATCCCATTCCCAATCCCCACTGCCATTCCCGGTATGATCCCATTCCCAATCCCTACTCCCCAGCATGATCCCATTCCCTATCCCCACTGCCCTTCCCAACATAATCCCATTCCCAATCCCCACTGCCCTTCCCAGCATGATCCCATTCCCAATCCCCACTGCCCTTCCCAGCACAATCCCATTCCCAATCCCCACTGCCCTTCCCAACATGATCCCATTCCCAATCCCCACTGCCCTTCCCAACATGATCCCATTCCCAATCCCCACTGCCCTTCCCACCATGATCCCATTCCCAATCCCCACTGCCTTTCCCACCATAATCCATTCCCAATCCCCACTGATCTTCCCAACATAATCCCATTCCCAATCCCCACTGCCTTTCCCACCATAATCCCATTCCCAATCCCCACCGCACTCCCAGCCACCACACCAGACGCTCCCAGCCCTCAGTGACCATCCTGCCTCTGGATCGGTCCGTGTCTCACAAACGGGGTGGGACCCTGCCTGGATGCAGATTTAGGATTTATTATCTGTATCAGACAAGCAAAAAGAGAAAATAACAACATCCATGCAAATCCAGATCAGAGACAAGGTGGCAGCTCATGCAAAGACTTTTCCTACATATTCTTTGAACCGACAGCATAAAAGGAAATGTGAAAAGTTATTATACTCTAACCAATAAGAAAAGGACCCACATGGGTTTAACATTAACAAAAGGACTTCTATGAACCTCAAAAAATAATCCTTTATTTAAGATTTAAACTTCTTCTGGCTTTGCAAAGCATATATCTAGGACCTTTCACATCTTTTCATTAGTTTTTGTTATTTCTTGTTCTTTATGATAAATGTAAATGTATTCACTTGGTTATGAAATTTTTAGCTTCCCATGAGAAGGTTTAGAAATTTCCCAGCCTTTCTGAGCTTTATGTCTACTTCCTGAGGCCTTTTTGCACTTTCCAAAGTCTTTTACCCTTTTATATTCCTACAATTCCCCCTCTCTTTTTCAATTTTAAATAAACTATCTTTGACTTGTCACTTATTTGTGTTACGTAGCTTCACTGCTGTATATATTTTTTAGCTTAGGAAATAATGTTATAAACTTTATATAGAAAGGTACGTTTTTGTTTACTTTAAGCTGTATCAAGTTAAAGCATTATGTGTAAAATCAGGTTTAGCATCTGCATCGGGTTTTGACAAATCCCGACGTTTCTAAGGTCTTAATTTAAAGGTTAAATTTGTGAGTGACTTTAATGAATTGCTCCTCTGCTCCCCAGGACCTCCCGGAGAACGAGCTGCTGCACCCGCCCCTGAACATCCGCGTGGTGGACTGCCGCGCCTTCGGGCGCTACACCCTGGTGGGCTCCCACACCGTCAGCTCCCTCCGCAAGTTCATCTACCGCCCGCCCGACAAGAAAGAACAGCACTGGAACATGGCAGGTACCGGGACACGGGAACCTGCTCCGGGACATCCAGGGCTAGGCTGGAGAGGGGCTGGGGACACAGACCCGGTGAGGAGCCCCTGAGGGAGCTGGGGGTGCTCGGCCTGGAGAAAAGGAGACTCAGGGGTGACCTCAGCACTCCCCACAGCTCCTGACAGTGGCTGTGCTCAGCTGGGGTTGGGCTCCTTCTCCAGGAGCTGACAGAGCCAGAGGTCACAGCCTCAAGCTGTGGAATTCCAAGGGGAATTCAGGCTGGATATCAGGGAAAAGTTCTTCCCAGGAAGGTGATAAAGTTCTGGGATGGCAGCCCGGGGAGGTGGGGGAGTCCCCATCCCTGGGTGTGTTTAACAAAGCCTGGATGTGGCACTGGGTGCCAGGGTTGAGTTGAGGGGTTGGGGCCGGGTTGGACTCGATGCTCTTGGAGGTCCCTTCCAATCTGGTGATTCTATGAATTCTGGGAATTTTGGGAATTCCCAGTGATCAGGGTGGTAGTGGAGTCCCCATCCCCGGGTGTGTTTAACAAAGCCTGGATGTGGCTCTCAATGCCACGGTTTAGTTGAGGTGTTGAGGCTGGGTTGGACTTGATGGTCTTGGAAGTCTCTTCCAACCTGGGAATTTTGGGAATTCCCAGTGATCAGGGTGGTGGTGGAGTCCCCATCCCTGGATGTGTTTAACAAAGCCTGGGTGTGGCACTGGATGCCAAGGTTCAGTTGAGGTGTTGGGGCAGGGTTGGATTCAATGCTCTTGGCGGTCCCTTCCAACCTGGTGATTCCATGAATTCTGGGAATTTCGGGAATTCTCAGTGATTGGGGAGGTGGGGGAGTCCCCATCCCTGGGTGTGTTTAACAAAGCCTGGATGTGGCACTGGATGCCAGGGTTCAGTTGAGGTGTTGGGGCTGGGTTGGACTCTATGCTCTTCAAGGTCTCTTCCAACCCGGTGATTCCATGAATTCTGGGAATTTTGGGAATTCCCAGGGACTGGGAAGGTGGTGGAGTCCTCATCCCTGGGTGTGTTTAACAAAGTCTGGATGTGGCTCTTGATGCCAGGGTTTGGTTGAGGTGTTGGGGCAGCGTTGGACTCGATGGACTTGGAGGTCTCTTCCAACTTGGTCATTCTGTGAATTCTGGGAATTTTGGGAATTCCCAGGGACTGGGAAGGTGGTGGAGTCCTCATCCCTGGGTGTGTTTAACAAAGCCTGGGTGTGGCACTGGGTGCCAGGGCTGGGTTGAGGTGTTGGGGCTGGGTTGGACTCGATGGCCTTGGAGGTCTCTTCCAACCTGGTGATCCTGGGAATTCTGTGATCCACGGGGAGACGAGGGAGGTGGGATGGGCTCTGAGACCATGAGATCGCTGGCTCTCCCACAGAACTTCTGGTTTTGGGTCCAGAACTCCAAGAAAAAGCTCATCTTCAGCACTTTGGTGGTTCCAAGTGGTGTGAGGAGACCACCCTAAAAATTTTTGTAGTCAAAATGAAAAACAAACAGGACTTTTAGTATTTTTGATCTTCGAATTATTGTTTATTTTTCCTCTTATTAACAATTCTATGCACTATTTACATCTTACACTTAGCATATTAAAAAAAAAAACACTAAAAGTTACAAACCACAAAAATTTAAAGTAATTTAAAACTATATATTTAATTAATTCTTAAAATGCACCTTTTTTCCTACCTTTCTACCAATAACTAATTATTTGTTTATCTACAGAACATCTACATTGTGATTATTTCTAACCAATCATTTTATACTCCCAACACAATAAAAAATAGAATAAATGGAAAACAAAAAAGAGATCAAACAACACCCAAAATCCTTCATCTTATTTCCCACCCACCTCCATAGTAAAAACCCAAAACTCTATGTTTTTCACCCTATAATTTATATATATATAATTAACTATTTAT